TCTAATAAACAATTAATGTGTAACCTGTCAAAACTCTGTCGATTGATTTCTGGAGGAGTTTCTCCTGCAACCTTAGTTGGCATTTTTTTTTATTTTGACTTGAAGATAGTCCATGATATCAAACATTTAGATTGACACCTTTGTAGACAATGATTGCAATAACTACAATCAAATTAATATAATTAGTGTAATCACATTATACATAATTGTAAAAAAAGTTTGTTTTAGTATTAAAGGATACTGGATGTGAATCTATGATAATTGTCAACATTCAACAAGAATGTGTTTTTTAAATATTTTGTAAGTGCATTTCTCATGTTCATCTGCAACTTGCTTCTTTTTATGATCTACTGCTCTTGATGTTGTAGTTACTCCAAGACTTGTATCTACTGAGTCTAAATAGAATGCAAGGTCAAACTTAAAAGAGTTAATTTTTGTATTATTTAAAACAAGAAGATAACACATGAACACTAAAATCGCCAAGCTGCTAAATAGAGTTGGTCAAAAAACTCCTTCAAGCTTGGTTTTATTTCTTATAGCAATTAATCTTTTCACTTACCTCTTCCCCTTCCCCTTCCCCTTCCGCATCTGTGGTTTTTATCTCCTAGGTTCTCTTTTTAAAAGATTTTCTACAAAATTCATATAACAAATGTTACATAAAACAACATGTTACTTTCACTAAGTTGTTGTTCTCAGCTTCTTTCCATTTATTGCCTTTCGTTGATGAAATTTAGCTGATTCAGTGGTTTTACATTCTGTGCAATGTTTAATTTCAGGCAATTTTTCTTCAAGTAAATCATATTATGAAAGTTGTGGGATTCAAAGGGATTCAAAAGATATGATAACAACAAAGTGTAAAGCTTCAAGTTTGTGTAATTATTTACACATGATTTATTGCAAGAATGGGCTACATGATACCCTTGTAAAAGTATTTTAAACTGTATAAAAAAATTTGTAATCAATTGTGAAAATTCATTGCTTATATAGGACGGTCTCTCCTGTTTCATCAAGTACATAAAAGAAAACCTCTGCCTAAATCTAAACAGGAATTAATAAACATAATACAAGAGGAATGGGGGAAAATCAGCATAGAAACGCTACATTGTTTAATTTTAAGCTTACCAGATCATGTCAAAGCAGTAATTAAGGCTAAAGGTGGACATAGTAAATATTAGCCTGTTCATTTTAAAAATTTTAAATATTAAACATCACATTTAGGATTTTATTTTGAAAACTTGTTTTTGTCAAATAATAAATATAAAAATTTTTTTACACATACACAAAAAACTGAATTTTATATATAATTCTATAAATAGTATAGTAAAAAAAATCCGGTATATCACTGTAGGCCAGTGTAGTGTATATATTTTTTTTTAAAAAAATAAATGTGCACAGTCTGTGTAATGTGATACACCCTGATTGAAATTTAAACACTGGGCAGAACGTGCTGTTGGTTCATTGTAAGCCTTTTTTTTTTATGGATTTAGATTATGTTGAAACCATTCATTTTAACTATAATTTTTTTAGTCTTGATGCTTTCGAATCCGAGTATAATCCTATACAACAAAATGATTGTGGAGAAATGGAGTGGTTCGGGGACTACATAATTCCTATATTTAAGGGAGCTCTGAAATTGAACACATCCTGCCGTGTCCCTTGGTAAGTTTTGCATCGATTCACTTTTCTCATTTTTAGATTTAAGTATCTAAGTTTTATGAGTTATTCTTAGGGGGGAGGTTACAGTAATTGCAACTATTTGAAGAAGAAATCAAGACAGGAATTCATTAGAATACCTCCTTGAACGTGGCAACTTAGCAGATTTATTATGTAAAATCAATCAACAAGAAGTTTTTTGTGGGCTTGGTTGCAGTAGTCCTCATAAATATGATCTTACAAAGTGGAATTCTGATCCGTACCAACTTCCGAGGATGCTCAAAGACATGTTAGGTGACATGTTAAAAAGATTTCGAAGTAGAAATAAATGCACGTCGAATCTTTATACCATTGGCATTCAGGTGAGATTGGTCTTGTTAATGATTTTGCGTTGAATATTGAATATTGAATTTTGTTTTGGATCAGCAATATATGACAGAAATCCGAGTATATATGATGGAAAAACGTGATATATATCGACTTCATCACTTAAAATCATTCAATCTACCCCTGTCTTATTCATCTTACGGCAACTTACGTCTTGCTCTTTCTTGGGCATGGGATATTAAGGTAAGTCTTATTTATGACATTATTTAATCATCTCCAGAGGATTACTGTCACATTGACATATATTAATAAGTATTTCTTCTAGTGTCTTGTTGAAAATCTATCATTTGAGTTTTATGATGAAACATTTGTTACTTCTACAACTCCCAAACGTGATCCACCCGATGAAATGAAAACCGATACAACACCGGAGAGATCAAGAAAGAAAAAGTTTGATAAATTTGATAAAGGTCTTTTATTAATGAATACTACACAAATATTGTACATTTTACGATAACGATATTATGCAATAATTCTGAAAATTTTATTGTTTCATAATATTTAGTAATGAACAGATACCAAAATTTAAGTCCGAATTAACAATGAAAACGCAGGATTATGGGGCTCAGTTTGTTAGTTATCAAAAGAACATTGTCATATAAAATATATTGCGTGCATTAATAAACTCGAGAAATCTCAAAAGCTTTGGTCCAGTTTATTTGTTATATCATAGTAATTTAACAATGGAAATATTTTAAAATAGAAGCTGTTAACTTTATGTAGATGTTACTGAATGCAATCCACTATCACAAAAATGAACTTTCGAGATCCAATTCTTTTCGCATAATTCTTTCTTGAATTGATCCTGCTGTTTATTGGGATCCTTGCTACTAAAGAATTCGTGATAGTCTTTGTGTTGTAACCAGTGTTGTGACCTGAAACTCTGAGTTTAGGGAAGACCCGAAACAGAAACTAACTGAAACCACCTGAAACTAGTTTAGGTTAGTAGTTTATGCCTAGGTTTAGGTTTAGTTTTAGTTTTCTGTTTAGTGCAAGTACATTTTCCGAAACGTTTCGAGAAGCCAAAAGTGTTTCTGGTCACAACACTGGTTGTAATCAGTGTTGGAAATTTTATGCCGGGTTTGTGTTACATAATAAATGCGCACATTTTTATGATCATCAAAAAAAATTTTTAATTAAACAAATAAATAAAATAAATTTTTTAATTACAGTATATAAATAAATAAAATAATATTTTA